GACCTCTAGCTCGGGCGAGTTCTGGCATTACTCTGGGCAGCAGGGGGCCCGCCACCTGTGGGAGTGACCCTGCTCCGTAGGATGCTGGGTGTGCCGCGGACTACACCCCACATGTCTTGCGTCCTCCCTGTGAACTCCGTCACAGGAAACTGGTTGCTTTCCGGGCACGTCTCCCGTGGTCAGGTCCACTGGACGTCCTGCACGAGAGCCCGTGACAGCAGTGCTGCCCGCCCCTGTCACTGCTGGGCGAGAGTCACAGGAAGGCACGACCATGTTCGGGCTCGTCCTGGACACAGGTCCCCCCACCCAGCCCTCAGCACCCCGAGGTCTGGGCCACATCAGGGGTCCTGGAGGCAGGTCCCTTCAGGAGCCAGGCAGGGAGGCAGGTGTGGAGGCTGCTGTGGGCGAGGCTGTCATGCATGGTGGCGGTGAGAGAGGCCCTCCCGCCCAAAGGCCCGGCCCGGGACCTGCCGCCACCCAGGTCTCAGCTGACCGCAGAGGCACCTGCACCAGGCTGGCTGGGGAGCACTGCCCACCGACAGCGACCTGTGGCTTTGAGGCTGTTTGTTACGTGGCATTACCATGGGGTTTGGTAACCAATACAGTCCCGTGGGCCAGATTCACCTATGGGGGCTCCTGATTGTGACCTTGGAGGTTTACAAGACTTTTTACAGTTCAGAATGTGATTCCACGAGAAAAGCTTAACTGTCTGTTCTTTTCCCCCTAGGGCTGTACAGAGAGGGTAGCTTTCTGCCCGTTCTGTCTGGCAATAGTCATGTCCTACCGCCCTGCAGGGCTGCATGGGGCTGGGCTCCTCCGGGGGTGCAGAGTAGACTGCCCGAGCTGCGGGGACAGGAGACGGTGAGCCAAGCAGAACAGCCGCCCGTGAGTCACTGTTCCAGAACAACCACAAATGGCCCGCACCTGCTCGCCCACCCCCTCCCGCACCTGCCAGCCTCACCAGGGGCTTTTGGCCGCTGGACAGAGTGGGCTGGCGCACACTGACCACCTCCAGAAGACAGTGACAGATGTTAGTGCCAGCGGGTCCTGCCCCTCCCATCAGCAGATGTCAAGACATGAAAAATTGGGGTAAATGAAGGGTGCACGATTAGATTCGGGCGCAAGCTGGGTTCTTGTGGGTGCCAGAGACAGCTGCAAAGGCACGTCGGGGACAGTTGCCCTGATGCAGCAGGGGCTGCCCAGCCTGGGTGCCTGGGGACAGCTGGACGAGGTGCCGATGTGGCCCTTCCTCCGTGGAGCCGCCCCGCAGCTGCTAGGAGCGCTGCCAGCCGTGAGCCGTGCACCCCGGCTCCAGGCCCACCCCAGCGTTCCCGGGACCCCAGCTTATCTTGAGCTGATGGCTCTTCTCAGGGGGGCCCCCATTCTCTCCTCCCCTTCTTTCTGGCCCCTTTCTGGTTCTGCCCAGGTGGGGTTGGCTCCGGGTCTTCCTGAAACCAGCCCATAGGGCAGTCAGGCCTCTTCTCAGCACCTCTGGCCTCTCTCGTATCTTTTTGACTTACTTTCATACAGTTATTTGCTTGAAAATGTGGGTTCAGGAGCCTTTCCAGGCCCTGGCATTGGCAAGTGGCAGCTCTGTTGATGCTCATGCAGGCATGGGCTGGGGAGCCAGAGAAGGCACCTCAGAGCCCCGTCCAGCACCAGGCCCGCAGCCCTATGGCTCAGGGTTGCAGAAAAAGGTTTGTTTCTGAGTGGGTCACCCTCGTGGAGCACAATAATATCTAATATTATTTTACACCTGTTAGCTACTCCCAGTACTTTGGCCACCTGATGTGAAGAGCCAGCTCATTGGAAAAGACCCTGATGCTGGGAAAGATTGAAAGCAGGAAGAGAAGGGGACAACAGAGGCTGAGATGGTTGGATGGCATCACCGACTCAATGGACATGAGTTTGAGCAAGCTCCGGGAGTTGGTGATGGATAGGGAGGCCTGGTGTGCTACAGTCCATGGGGTCACAAAGAGTTGGACATGACTGAGTGACTCAGCAACAACAATATAGATCAAGATGTAAGTTTAGTATAAATGACAAGATGGCTCCGGGTCTTCCTGAAACCAGCCCATAGGGCAGTCAGGCCTCTTCTCAGCACCTCTGGCCTCTCTCGTATCTTTTTGACTTACTTTCATACAGTTATTTGCTTGAAAATGTGGGTTCAGGAGCCTTTCCAGGCCCTGGCATTGGCAAGTGGCAGCTCTGTTGATGCTCATGCAGGCATGGGCTGGGGAGCCAGAGAAGGCACCTCAGAGCCCCGTCCAGCACCAGGCCCGCAGCCCTATGGCTCAGGGTTGCAGAAAAAGGTTTGTTTCTGAGTGGGTCACCCTCGTGGAGCACAATAATATCTAATATTATTTTACACCTGTTAGCTACTCCCAGTACTTTGGCCACCTGATGTGAAGAGCCAGCTCATTGGAAAAGACCCTGATGCTGGGAAAGATTGGAAGCAGGAAGAGAAGGGGACAACAGAGGCTGAGATGGTTGGATGGCATCACCGACTCAATGGACATGAGTTTGAGCAAGCTCCGGGAGTTGGTGATGGATAGGGAGGCCTGGTGTGCTACAGTCCATGGGGTCACAAAGAGTTGGACATGACTGAGTGACTCAGCAACAACAATATAGATCAAGATGTAAGTTTAGTATAAATGACAAGATGTATTCTGACAGGTAAATCACCTTTTTAGGTGATTCTGAAACTAGGACTAGAGATTTTTTTTTTTTTTTTGATGAAACCCACATAGCGTAGAAGTAAGTATTTTAGGCATACAATTCAGTAGCATTTTGTACACTCGCTGTGTTCTGCACCACCCCTATAGAATGTTTCCCTCATCCCACGAGGAAACTCTGCCCCTGTGAGCAGTCTCACCCCCGACCCCACTCCCTGGGAACTGTCTGTGGATAGACTTATTCTGGACGTTTCATATAAATGGACTCATATAATACGTGGCTTTATGTGTCTGAATTCTCTCACTGCACACGTTTTCAGGGTTCATCTATGTTGTACATACATCAATACTTATCTATTTTTTTTAATGGCTGAATAATACACCAGTGCACATTTTATTAAGTTCAGGTTGAACCAGGCAAGAACTTGAGTCTCTGGCTGGCCTTTCTATGGCCAGGTCCTGCTCGACAGTGTTCATTCCCATGGAGGTTCTAGACTCTCAGATGGACTGGTCCTCTGTGGTCAGCTCAGGAAGGAGGACCCTGGAGGGGACATGAGAACATGAGCTCCAAGCAGACCTCTCTGGTGGCCTCGCCCACCCTGGGCAGACCCGAGGAGGGAGCCCAGAGCCGCGGAGCTGGAGGCTGGACAAGGGGCCCTTTTCTGCTCTGCACAATGTCTCATTGTGCACTTCTCGGGGGAACAATGCAGCGCAGGCCAGGGGAAGCTGAGGACAAAGGGCCCTTTGTGCTGCGTCCCCACCTGAAAGGCAGCGCCCGGGGTCCCACCTGACCGCAGGGCGGGCCTCCTCGCCCCCGGCCCCTGCGCTGCTCCCACAGCTCCGAGTGCTCGGTGAGGACCCCGGGACGCTCGAGCAGGCTTGGGCCGGGGGTCGGCCTCTCCCCCACTCTCCCCAGATGGCTGCGTGGGCTCATCGCTCGCTGAGGGGGGGGTGACAAGGCGGGATGGGGGAAGTGTGGCGTGTGGGTTCCTGTGGGAGGACCTGGAAGCAAGGCCTGACCAGGTCCTCGGGCACACGCTTCCCTGCTGGGGGCTCTCCACTTTGTGGGTGATTGCACCTCTGTCGGAACTCTTAGAGGTACTACTCTACAGACGAGTTCTGAAGGGAGGGCTTTCCATGGAAAAGAAAACGGAGCCTTTAAAAGAAAAACACACACTGTAAGAGGCACGTGTGTATGGATGCTCAGTCATTCAGTTGTGTCCAACTCTTTGCGACTCCATGGGCTGTAGCTCCTCTGTCCATGGAATTCTCCAGGACATCTTCCCAACCCAGGGATTGAACCCAAGTCTCCTGCATTGCAGGTAGATTCTTGATCATTGAGCCACCAGGGAAGCCCAGTTCAGTTCAGTCGCTCAAAAATGCTATCAGCACTAACAGTGGAGGCTGGGGCGGGGGGTCCAGAAGTTGCTGATCAAGCCTATCTGGGAGAGCCTCTGTTCAAAGGCAGCCCCTCCCCTCCCGGAGTCCCCATGATGGGTGGTGAAGATAGAATTAAACAAGCCAGAAAAACTGGTCATTTGACCACATAACTATTGATAACATACCAAACACTAGGAACAAGACAAAAAACCCAGAATGAGCATTTGTAACATACATAGAAGAAGAGGATCTTTCTTGACAAAATTCACCACACACTCGTCTGGGCATGTGGGGGGGCGGGGAGCATTTCACATGGTATGACTAGGTGGTTGTCCCTCTCCCACTAGACTGTGAATTCTTTCAAGATCAAGACCTGTTTCATATTTACCTTTGAATTCTCAGTGAGCAACACAAAACTGCTGCATATGCTTAGGGAATAATTAGTTACAATGAGAACTATACCTCATGGAGTTTGATCTGTTTATAAATTGAGGACACTGTTCTAGTTCCACTTTGGAATGGAAAGGTAGTCTAAAATAAAATCTCAAGCAATATGTGTGTTATACTTTATATATATGTGTGTGTGTATTAGTCACTAAGTTGTGTTTGACTCTTTGTGACCCCATGGAGTGTAGCCTGCTAGGTTCCTCTGTCCATGGAATTCTCCAGGCAAGAATGCTGGGGTGGGTTGCCATTCTCTTCTCAAGAGCATCTTTCCAACCCAGGGATCAAACCCAGGCCTCCTGCATTGCAGGCAGATTCTTTACCATCTGGGCCACCAGGGAAGCCCTAAAGAGGATCTTTAATACGTAAAGAGCTCTAACAAATGAATAAGAAAAACCCACACCTGTCTCAATCATTTCCTTTCAGGTGCTCCGCAGTTTACTCAGTAACGCCAAAGGCTCTATGCCTGCCCTTTCGCACACCTCTTCTTTGCTTTGAGGAATGCCTGCAACTCCACCTGTTGAGACGCACCTCTCCTGTGTCCTCAGAAGGTAGCGTTGCTGGTGTCCTCACTGGGGTGACGCTTGGGTTATTCACTGGTCAGTAAGTTCTTCTCTCCTCTGAATCCTCAGCCCACCACTGTCCCCTGTGGCTGGAGGGCCAGTAGGAGCGCTGACCGTCTAAATGGGCTTTGCTGTCCACTGCAGAGACGCTGTGGGCTTGGGGGGCGGGGGAAGGGCAAGGAAGCTGGAGGGTCTGAGATTTAGGGCGAGCCGCAGCCCACACTGTCCCTCACTAGTTGTGTCAGTGTCCCCGCAGCGCCCTCCTCAGACAGCAGAGATGGGGCGCTGGGCAGGNGGCCGTGGCTGGGGACCCGGAGCCAGAGGCTCCGCCGGGGCAGGAGCGCGACCTCAAGGGCCGACCGGTCCGCCTCCGCGCGGGCACTTTCTGGCTGACAAGGATCGTGCTCCTGAGGGCCCTCGCTTTCGTTTATTGTGAGTCCACGGGGCCAGGCCCCTAGTGTGGCCCCTCCGCGCGCGCCCCGTCCGCCACGCCCAGGGCGCCCCCGAGGCGTGTTCGCGGCCGAGCCCCGGGGTCCCCCCGCCGATCCCGAGCGGACCAGAGCCAGGGAGGCGGTGACTGCGGCCCCGCAGCTTTGGTACCGGGGCAGTAGGTGCGGGCTCACCTGCGGGGCGCGGCCCGAGCCAGGCGTGAACACGTGGAGAGCCGTGCGCCCCACGCCGGCCTCGCCCACCGGGCCGCCCCCCAGAGTACTGCTGGGCGCCCGGAGACCACCAGCGTGTGTGTGCGCCCCGCCCAGCCCCAACGCGCGGAGGGGCGCAAACCCCCGAGACCAGCAGTGGCGCCCGACGCCAAACAGCTTTGCGAACGAACGTGGCAGCGCAGGGCCGGCGGGGCTGGGGGCGGCCACTGGCAGAGTGACCTGGGCCCGTGGGCAGCCGGGTTCCAGCAGGTCCGGAGGCGCTGGGCACCCGGCGTCCCCGCGTCATTTCCGAGTTGCTTCCGCACACGCCTTTGAAGGGGGCGCGCGTGCCACTCTCTGCCGGCGACCTTCTGCCAACCCGGAGTGGGCACACCCGGGGCCCTGGTCCGAGGGAGGCGGGAACTCAGCCACGACTCTCATCCGTTCTCGAGTGCTCTAAGTTACTGTAAAAAATAGTTCTTGCTGCTATGCTCTATCCTCCACGGGATTAAACAGGCATTCTAAACGTTTGAGCTGTCACTTAGGGAAAGATGAAGTCAAGACAATGTTAATCTGCGAGGCTTTAATAGACCTTTAAACCGGCGCCGTTAACAGTGGGAAAAGCCCGCTGGCTCCTCGGGCAGAGAGCGCAGCTTATAGACCCAGCTCTGCCTCCAGGGAGCCCGGCTGGCTTTGATCTCCGCGAGGACCCTCAGTTCAGTTCAGAAGGAAACCGTCCTGAACCGCTGGGTCAGGCAGATAGTTTAAGCCTGGCGCTGAGCGCAGAGTGAGTTGCTTTGGCACATGAGTTTTTCTCCACCTTCCTTTTCTCACTATGTGGAGTAGGGTTGGAGTTTGTCAGCCGCCCTAAGGAACCAGTTTACCATCTTTGGCAATGAGGGTCCCTGGTTGAGACGGCTGGCAAGTAGGCAGCGCCCTGGGTTGGTCTCTTCTGGAGGCTGCAGGTCTCCTGGGGACCGCCAACAACTTCAGCATCTCTTAAGTCCCAGGAACTTCCCACAAGGCCGTGGGGTCCACACCTTCCACCTGGTGTTGAGTGTAACCCACCAGAAGGCTGAGTGATGGGCCTTAAGCTTCCTCACCCTCTGCACACCTGACGGGGTGCTTAATGCCGTTATCTTGCCTGTCTGTGCATCTCCCTGGGAACTCCTGCAGCGGGGACAGTGTTTAACACCTCTGACCTCTGTCTTCTGGGAGCGGCTCCTGCTCCATAAACTTCCCTTGAGTCTCTGTCATTGCTCTGTGCCGCCACAGATGCTTTTCCAACTGTGTCCTCCCCGCCGCCCGCCGCACTCAGCACCCCAGCCCCTGGGTGTGACACTCAGGTCAGAGACTGCCCACCCAGGAGGCCCCTAATCTAGGCGTGACTCTCCAGGCCCAAGGACCCCAGGAACTGGGCAGTGCCTCACACCTAGCAAAGGGAGGGCCAGGCTCCACCTGTCCTGGCTCCCAGGTCACCAGTCTGCTCCTGCTGGCGGGTACACCCCGTGGCCAGCCATGCCACCCACAGGCCCGTCGCCAACCTGGCGGCTCCCCCATCTTGGCAACCCTGTCTCAGGTCCCAGTGGTCCTCAGTTAGCCCTTGTGGAGCCGAGGGGCAGCTCACCTCCTCCAGGTGCTTGATGTTGGCCTTCAGGCAGGGCGTGCAGGACCTCAGCTCGCTGTTCTCCTCATCCAGCTGCTGCAGCCTGGGGCACAAGGACTAGGCTGGGACCTGCGGAGCTGTCTGCAACCACCACACATGCCCACACAGGGGCCAGAGCTCCTCACAAGCCAGGACGGCGTCCACACCTCAGGTGTGGGGAAGCCTCACATTTACAGAAAAGCTGTCGCCACAGAGCAGGTCCCTGGACCCCGAGCCCCTGGCGGCTTCTCGAGATGTCTGCTCATTCTCGTGACATCTGTCACACTCACACATAGGCGACCAAGCCACGGCCTCGACCCAGCCTCCCCCCAACGCCCCTTCCCGTCGGGTCCCCACACCACGACACCATCACGGCTCCTCTGTCCCCTCAGGGCTGCAGCATCTCTGGGCTTGCCTGCTCTTAGTGACCTTGACATTCTGAGCAGGCCTGGCCCTGTGTTTGGTGGGTGCCCCTCAGGCTGGGCTTGTCTGGGGTCCTCCGGTGACTGGACAGGCTGTGGGTCTGGGGAGAGCCCTCCAGGGGCCAGGGAGGAGCTCAGCTTCTGCACTGGATCCTTGTTTAGCTTCAGGCTCTGGCCTGAGCTGGGGGGTTGCAGCGGATTGGTGGTCCCCATGGGGTGCATGTGGGGCCCATCGGGGTGTCTGCACAGACACGGGCCTAGAGTCTGCAGCCTGGGCGGGGCCAGAGGAGTTCATCCAGAATGAGGGCAGGAGTCTCACGTCTGAGCCTACCCACTTAGACTCTGGTGTTTCTCTCCGGAGCCCTTTGTCTTTGACCTTACATTTCACAGTTTTACTCAGAACAATTCCCAAAGTTAATTAGGCCAGCCCTCGCTCCTGCCTTCCACGCCGTGTGGCCGTGTTGTGCGTTAGCAGCAGAGTTGGGCTCACGTGTCCTGGTCTGCACTCTAGCCCGGCATCCCCTGGAGTCCTGGCTAGGTTGTTTTGATAGTTTAGATAAGGTTCCTATTTTGTGATGTACAGTTTTATGGGTTTTGACAGATACATAGTCGTCCATCACCCCAGGACTGGACAGAACAGTGCCATCCCTTCAGAGTCCCCGGGGCGCATTACCAACTGCTCCCCACACCAGCACCTGGTGCGCCCTGACCGTGTTCAGCCCTGGGGCCCACCTTTCCCAGGAGCCTTTGGGTCTGCTTCCTTTACTCAGTAACACGACCTGGAGGTCCTTCCATGCTGTTGAGTGAATCAACATTCCATTGATGTTCCCTCTGGATGTCAACCCGTTTTATGAACGCACCACAGTTTGTTTACCTATTCTAACACTGAGGAATATCTATGTTGTTTCCAGTTTTAGTAATTATGAACATGTAGGCTTTTGTGTAAATCTAAGTTTTCAGTTCACTTGGGTGAATACCTAGGAGTATAATTGCTGGGTTCTATGGTAAATCTGTTTAACTTTATGAGAAACTGCCAAACTGTCCTCTAGAGTGACCGTACCGTGTGTCCCACCAGCAGGGAATGAGAGTTCCCCTTGTTCTGAATCCTCTGGAGCATTTGGTATTTTCAGTTTCTCGGATTTTGGCTGTTATGATAGGTGTGTGATGATATTGCCTTGTGGTTTTAATTGGCGTTTCCCCAGCAACAAATGATATTGAGCATCTTTTCATGTGTTTATTTGACATCTGTGGATCCTCTGTGTGAAGCAGATGACTTTTAGAGTCTGCTCAGATCTTTTGCCCTTCTAAAACCTGGGTCGTCTGTTTTCTTGTTGAGTTTTAATGGCACTTTGAGTATTCTGGATGCAAGTCTTTCATCAGATATGTAAGCTACTGATATGTTTCCCAATCTGTGACTTGTCTTTTCATTCTCTTAAAAATATCTTTTACAGAGCAAAAGTTTACTGGTTTTTTCTTTCATGGATCATGGTTTGATTGTTCTATCTAAAACTCATCACCGAACCCAAGTCACATCCATTTTCTTCTACATTTTCTTTTGGAAGTTCTCTACTATTATGTCTTAACACTTAGGTCTCTGGTCCTTTTTGAATAAATTTTTATATAAGATGTGAGTTATATGTCAAGGTTCTTTTTTTTTTTTTGGCATATGATGGCCAGTTATTCCAGCACCACTTGTTGGAAAGACTGTCTTTCTCCATTAAACTGCCTTTGCATCCTTGTCAAAAGTCAGTTGACTGTCTTTGTGTAGGTCTACTTCTGGGTTCTATACTCTCTTCCGTTGGTTTATGTGTCTATACTTTGGCTAATACCACACTGTCTTGATGACCGTAGCTCTGTAGTAAGTCTTGAAGTTGAGTAAAATAAGTCCTCGAACTTTGCTCATTATCAGAATTATTTTGGCTATTCTAGTTCCTTTGCTTTTACATACACATTTTAGAATCAGTTTGTCAGTGTCTATGGAAAAGTTTACTGGATGTTTTGATTGAGATTGCATTGAATCTGTAGATCGAATTGGGGAGAAATGACTTTTTAATAATGCTGACTCTTCCAATTCATGAACGCAATGAATCCTTATATTTATTTCGATCTCCTTCGATTTCTTTCATCGTGTTTTGTAGTTTTCCACATACAGATTCTGTGTATATTTTGTCAGTGTTTTTAGTCTAGACACTGTGTTTGGTGGCTGTTGTAATTTTTTAAAAATTCAGATTACAATAGTTCATTGTTGGTATATAGTAATACAGTTGACTTTTGTTTGTTGATCTTGTATTCTGTGACTTTCATAAACTCACTTATTAGTGCTATAAGGGCTTTTTTTTCTTCTTTTCAATTTTGGTTGATTTTGGGGAATTTTTTACAGAGGCAGTCTATTAATAGAAATGGTTTCATTCCTTCCTTTCTAATCTATATAACTCTTATTTTTTATACTTGCCTCATTGTCCTAGCTAGAATTTCCTATGCAGTGTTAATAGGAGTAATTAGAGAAGAGATAGTCTTGCTTTGTTTCAAGGCTTCAGGGAAAAGTATTTCCATTAATCTCTAACTATGAACTTGGGTATAGGTATTTTGTAGCCACCATTTACAGATTAATGAAGTACCCTTCTATTCCTAGTTTTCTAAAAAAAAAAATTTTTATCATGAATGAATAAATTCTTTCATGTACTTTTTTTGTGTGTCTATTGATACTATCATATGGTTTTCTTATTTAGTTTGTTAGTATGGTGATTACATTGGTTGCTCTTTGAGAGTTGAACCAGCCTTGCATTTCTGAGATGAAATTGGTTGGTTGTGATGTATTATCTTTATTTCTCCTTTTGTGAGTTTTGGTGGTTTATGTATTTCAAGTAATTGGTCTGTTTCATCTAAGTTTTAGTCAAAATTTATGATCTTAGACTTGTAGTATTCCTGTATTATCTTTTTATGTCTGTGAAGTCTCTAGCGGTGTCCCTTTTCTCATCCCTGATATTGCTGTCTTCTCTACTTTTCTTGGTTATTCTGATTAGAGTTCTATCAATTATATTCATCTTATCGAAGAACCAACTTTTGGTTTTTCTTTTTCCTGTTCCCAATTTCATTGATGTCAGCTCTTTTTAAAAATGTCTTTTCTGATGCTTGTTTTATATGTAATCTGCTCTTTTTTCTGATTTCTTAGAGTAGAAGTTTAGATTTGACGCCTTTCTACGTTTCTGACATAAGTGTTTTATTGTAAATTTTCTTTAAGCAAAGTTCATTCTGGGATGGTTACCTAACCGTTTTATGCAGCCAGTCACATATTTCATATAGATGCGTGTGTGTTGTATATGCACATATACATCGTGTATAAACAGGTGCAGCACACACAGGTATGTGTACATATACCTGTGCCCTGTGACTTTTCCGGGTCAGATCTTCTACTTTCTCCCCAGAGACTTGTGAAACACTCAGACCCCTCGAGTCCACACTTTGATTTCAAACCACTGCTCAGACCCTGCCCAGTCTCCTCCCGTGGCTGAGCCCCGCACGTCTGGGAAGTGTCCGCAGACGGCTGTGCTCCTGCTCACACTGCTCTGTCTTCTCTCCCTTCCAGTTGTGGCATTCTTGGTGGCCTTCCATCAGAACAAGCAGCTGATTGGAGACAGGGGACTGCTGCCCTGCAGGGTGTACCTGCAGAGCGTGCAGCGGCACTTCGGAGGGCGCGTCAGCTGGGATGCCCTGAGCTACGCCCCCACCGTCCTCTGGCTGCTGGACTGGTCTCAAATGGATGCCAACCTGGATGCCCTGGCCCTCCTCGGGCTGGGCATCTCCTCGTTCATCCTGGTCTCCGGCTGCGCCAATATGGTCCTCATGGCTGCGCTCTGGGTCCTCTACATGTCCCTGGTCAACGTGGGACAGATCTGGTAAGAGGGCACATGGGGCACCGGGGAGGCAGGCACTCGGGGCCTCAGGAGCCTAAAGGCCTCCTAGCAGCAGGAGCGAGTGAGCAAACTGTCTTCTTACATGAGTTCAGAAAAGACCACCCTTTTTCTTAGGCTGTGGGGGCACTGCTGGTCGCATTCAGCCCAAACCCAGGAGCCTCCTGCTTCGGGAGTGACTTTGATTCTGTTGGGAGTGTCACGGCTGCACCTGAGACTGCGTTGCCCGCCTCCTGTGCTGGAGGACTGTGCGATGGGGGGAGTTGAGCGTCTGGGGATCAGGGACACTGAAGAGACACAGAGCCAGAGTGCAGGGACTACTGCGTAAAATGCAAGTGACTCGCAGGGACTGACCGGCCCGGCGCTGTCCTGCTCAGACACACAGGAAGCCCAAGTTGTCCCTTCGGCCCCAGGCAGACGGTTAGTGTCAGCTCCCCTGGAGGCTGGGTTTCTGGTTCTGTTATCTGTGCTTGGCCGCGGCAGGAATCCTGAAGGGCTTCTTTGTTGTGCTTAAGGGTGGCTTGTGGCCGCCCTCCCCTCTCCCCAGCTTCCCGGCCCCCACAAGGAAGAAAGGATTATCTCTGGAAACTTGGAGCAAGGTTGGGTGCTCCGGGGGTCCCTTCCTGCAGAGGAAGCCGCCTTGGCACTTGCCCCTGGCAGAAGGGACAGAGGATCAACTTCAAAGGGCCGGGAGCTGGTGCCTGAGGGCCGCAGAGGTGCAGAGGGACCCCTGCATCGTGGCCACTGAGGAGGAAAACTTTATCTTGGCCTGAGACGCCAAGATGTCCAGGCTCTCCTGCCCGTGGCCCCGGTAGAGATGGATTTGATGTGGAGAAGTGGATTTGATGCTATGGTTTTTCGAGGTCTGGGCAGCAGCGCAGTGCCATCCCCACCGCATGCCTGTGCAGCGGGGCCCTGTCCCCATGGGGACACCCCAGGCCTTGTGGGAATGGTGGCTCCCCACAGCCCGTGGCCATCGGACGTGACACAGGCCTTCTCTGCTCCCACCGACAGTGCTGGTCATGGCCTTCTGTGCCATGGTGGCTCCTGTGTTCCTCAACTTGGGGAGGAGGGGCTATCAGCCACTGGCTTCACGGCCAGGCCACTGCTTTAGCTCCTCTGGCCTTCCCGTCCGGCACTGCTTCTGTTCAGCTGTCTCCAGGGGCGCTCACAGGCTCAGCCTGAAAGAACCCGCTTTGTTAGAAATTCCCGTCCACCTGCTTCCCGAGTGGAGAAGGGCTCCTCAGCAGCAGGCAGGAAGTGGAAGAGTTATGCAGATTCAACGCCGCTCCCCCTCACCCCCCGCCACCAGCCAGGGGAGAGCAGATAAAATATTTATCCCCGATGCCCTCCTACAAAGTGAAACATCACTGGGAACCCGGTTCAGTGTTGCAGTCACCTGGCGCAAAGGCCTCTGGGTGACTCAAGGCCAAGGGCTGTGTACACAGAAGCTGGGGTGCTCCCCCCACCTTGGTTCTCTGCCTTCCTTCCTGTGGAGATGAGTGGTCCGTGAACTGTGGGCCACCTTCGGTGGCCGTGGCCGTGTTGTCTCTAACAGACAGTTGAAGGTAAGGCGCTAACACAAACCACTTGGGTGCAAAATCTGAATCTCTTAGAACAGGGTGCACATGAGTTTCTTTAAAAACCAGAACAATAGACATCCCCCAAACTTGTTCTGTGAACGGCCACCTCTTCTAACATAAGTTCCAGCTGTTAAAAATACAGTAAAAGCTGTAAAAATCTAATGAATACCTTTTAGCTTTTCACGTAATTAGATGTAACTACCTATATTTAAAAATCTTGTATCAGGCAGCCTTGAGAGTTAAAATTCAGAATAGGAGCAGATACGAGAAGGCATTTCCTAATGCCCTCAGCAGAGGCCCGTCATTGAGTCCACAGAGGGACGCTGCTCTCGTGGTCAGGCTGTGGCCGGGGGCCGGGCCAGCCAGCTGCCCTGTCAGCTCCCAGGCTCCTCCAACTGGTTCTAAGGGACACCGGCAGTGTCTACTCAGTGAGGTTCGAACAGTCAGCCCCTTCCTCTCCTCTGCTCACCAAGGTCACTTATTGGGAGAACTTAACTTCTTGCATCAGGCAGCGTGTGACTGGCTGTTGTAAAGGGTTTACTGTGGAAACTCAGGCTTCTGGCTCAGTAGAGAGCTCAAGCCATTTCCTGTCTTCCTCCTCCAAGCAGTGTTCCCTGTGGGAAGCCAGCCTCTCTCGGGTTGGATGGATGAGCACCCCAACTCCGTGAGGAAGGGCCCCTGGCCTCACCGCATGCCTGGTTGCCGGGCCGATTGGGTCTGCATCCTGCCTTCTCGGGGAAAGATGCCTGGTGCAGGAAACAGGCGCTCAGGGGATCCCTCGGACCTGCCCTCCCCTCACTGGGGGCTTGCAAATCTCAGACTCCCTGTCCTTTCACGTGTCAATACTTCTTTAAACAAATGTGTTTGTCTTAAAGTGTCTCTGTTTACGTACCACAAAGTGTAACTATTTAACTTGTGCAAGAACAGCCACCATCTACCTCTAAAACGTTTCCTCAGCCTGTGTCCCCACTCACCCTCGGCACCGCCCTCCGTGTCCTGTCTGTGCTTCACATGGATGGGGACACCTGTGGCCTCTGCGTTCGGCTGCCACCACCGAGCAGGCATGTGGCTTGTCCGTGGTGCAGCCAAGGCCAGTGCCTGGTCCTCTCACTCACGGGCACTCGCCAAGCCTGACAGTTGTGCCCTTTATCCCGGGGTCTGCGTGCTGGCGTCATGTTGACCTGGGGAGAGGATTCATGGTGTGAGGAGTGTCCTGGGTCCACTCACGTTACATCGTGGGGCTCCTTCCTGTGACCTGGGGTTCACACACGTGTGTGCTCCCCAGGGCCCCAACTCCCTCAGGGAAGGCGTATCTGACACGTCCTCCCCTTAGGGCTGCTTTTCTAATCATCTGTGCTCAGTGTAATGGGGTGTCATTTGAAATGAAAGATTCTGGGGTAGGACATTTTCACAGTGCTTAAAGGAAATCAGTGCAGTGAAACCAAGTACAGGTGACCTTTGAACTGGGATCAGAATTGCGTGAGCCCACATCTACACAGGCTTCTCACCAAACCTCTAAGAAAAACCACTCCACTGCAGAAGTAACAGCCCGCCTGGCGCCAGGTTGTTCAGGGGTGAAGAGCATTACACGTACTTTTCCAAACATACTTAACTCATCCCCTGCTGTGGGCACAGCCCTGCATTGTGACTACGGTGGGGCCGGTAAGAAGAACCTCCTGTCGGTGACACCTAAGGTGTGCCCCAGGTTCAGTAAACAAGGGCAGGTCTCCCCTCGCCTCACCTGCACTCAGACCTCTGCTCTCCCCCTAGCTTCCGCTCTGCTCTGCCACCTGAAGGCCCTTCTTCCTTGTGGCTCAGTAATGTGACTTGTGCCCATTCTGTTTGGAGACACTGGGTCAGTCTTTCTTTAGCAGGTAAAGCGATGCATAAATTAGAAGCTGTTTGGTGACAATTCTCCTCTTGTCTTTCAGGTACTCCTTTGGTAAGTGGCAGTCACATAATCCAGGTGTCGGCAATTTGCACCAACGGGTCTCGTCTCCCGTGGCTGCACCGGCTGCCTCAGGCCTGCGTCCTCACCCGTGGTCTCCACCAGATGAGGCCAGATGCTGCCTCGCGCCTCCACCCGTCACACCTCCCGTGCTGGCTGTGGGCACCCAGCGGGCATCCAGGACGTCAGCACTGGTGTTCCTGCTGGTGACTGGAGGGCCATGGTGCCCTGCAGGCCGGCCCCCACTCCCCATAGTGCACAGGGAAGCCCCAGTAGGTGCAGGATTCCTGGGGCCCCACGGGCTTGGGTCTTCCTGGGTTTCTGCCGGAAGACTGTGGGTCCCGCCCATGCTCTGCGGGTAGCACCCCATGGGCTCCAGAGCTGGCAGAAATGCAGGGCTCAGGGTGTGTGGCCGGTCTGGACCCCAGTCCTCTGAGCTCGGGAGCAGAAGCAGGGGCTCCCTGTGGCCCTGAGTCCTGCACTGGGGGGGAGGCAGTGACCTCCCGCGCTGGGGTTGGGGGGCGGTGACCTCCCGCGCTGGCCTCTCCTGCGGCATCCAGGGCCACCTGCGTCATGGTCTCTGGCCTCTGTCAGAGGTCAGTGTCTTTAGCTTCACTCCTCGAAGGTCACTCCCTCACCAGCAGAGCTGGGCCACCTGTGATGAGCATGACAGGTGACCTGGAACTTGTGGCCTCGAGCAGGGACTGCAGATGGGCTTCCTGGACTGTCTCGCAGCCATTACTGGGACAAAGCAGCGCACAGCATCTGTCTTCAGTTCTACGTGGGTTCCCTTTGGGTTCTGTCCAGTGCACTCCCAAGGGAAGAAGTGGGGCGCGGCCGGTGCTGGACAGAGGCCCCGGGTGAGGGTGGAGGCGGGGGTGGGGTCACCATGAGTGTGAGCGCTTCTTGAAGGCTGGTGTGGGCATGCAGTCCTCTGAGGGAAGCCCGTCCTCGTTGGCTCTGAGGATCTAGGAGGAGCTGGGGGTAGCCAGGGGGAGCCAGAGGAGGAGCCGCAGATTCTCCTGTGCACTCGGGCCAGTCCTGCTGACCCCAGGCCTACACACGTGTGTACAGGGGACACGAGGCTGCCCAGCCAGCGTGGACCGCCGGGGGCCGCCTGCACAGTTGAAACAATATCCGTGCTCTCCCAGGGGCATCACACCCTACCCACAGCAGGATCCAGAGCAAATGGGGATGAAGGACCAAGGCTGCAGGGGAAGAAAATACAATGTCTGGAATAAAAGCTCACGGGTAGGGCTGGATACAGGGGGCGGGGTCAGGAGTGAATGGAGGAGGAGCCACCGGGCCAGGGGCCTGGACTGAGGAGCAGAGCCCAGCCTTTGGAGAGGGAAACAGGGAGCCCCAGGGGCCTTGCACCTCGCGGGACAGGGGCAGGGGCAGGGGGCACTATCTGTGGAGGCGCAGTCCAGGGGCAGGGGTGGCAGGAGGGGAACCATCCACACCCAGGACACGAGCCCTGCGTTTCTTCCTCGCCTGCTCTAAAACACAGGACGGGCTTTCCTGATGGTCCAGGGGTAAAGAATCTGCTTCCCAATGCACGGGACATGGGTTTGATTCCTGGTTGGGAAACTAAGATCCCACATGCCTCGGGGTAATGAAGCCCATGCAACTGGAAGGACTGATGCTGAACCTGAAGCTCCAATCCTTTGGCCACCTGATATGGCTGAATCACTGGGAAAGACCCTGATGCTGGAGAGACTGAAGGCAGGAGAAGGGGATGACAGAGGATGAGATGATTGGATGGCATCACTGACTCAATGGACATGAGTCTGAGCAAACTCCAGGAGTTGGTGATGGACAGGGCGGCCTGGCGTGCTGCAATCCATGGGGTCACAAAGAATCGGACGTGACTGAATGGAACTGACTGCAACTAGAGCCCAGGAGCCGCACAGAGGCCCCGCGTGCCGCAGCCAAGCCCCAGCACAGCCAGGTGAGTGCACAGATTGAAAACTGCAGCGCGGGGAGGCTTATAGCAAAAGGACTCGTGTCTTCCCAGGAGGATGCCTGTGACAGGCAGGCTGGGAGAGGACCCTCTGTGGAGTGGCTCGGTGTGAACTGCAGGTAGGTCTGAGGAGTTAACGGTGGATGCTGTATCCCTAGGAACGTGTACTTGCAGCCAGAGCACCAGTACCCAGTGCCCATCCAAGGACTACGAGGGCAGGATGGAGAAGCAGGGACAGGACTAAAGTTCACAGGGAGCAGGAAGTCAAGTGCAAGCTGACCGGTGGTGCGGCAGCTGTGCCGAGACACTGGGCAGCCTGCAGTCCTCAGGGCAGTGGCGCAGACCACACCCCACCCCACAGCCCAGGGGGTGCGTTTCTGGGTGATTATTTTTACCCAGTAGCCGCTGTCTCTCTACACACAGTGTTTGGCACCATGAAAGATTACTGGAGACACAGCCCACAGAAATGGGCCTGCTGCAGAGCGGACACACCTGAGAAAAATACTAACGAGCCTGAAGATGTGGACCTAAAAGAGTCACAACCTGAAAGTTGGGGGTTATGTTGTATCAGGAGGAGTTTTTAGGACTTAGGCCCAGGAGGCAGCATCTCTATAGTAACCCTGAGAGAACTCCTCCAAGGGGGCGAGGCAGTAGCCAGCTTATGTAGAAGTTTTGCAACAAAGGGCTGGTGGTATAGCTGAGAGGAGGAGAGAAGCTAAAGGCAAAGGAGAAAAGGAAACATATTCCCATCTGAATGCAGAGTTCCAAAGAACAGCAAGGAGAGATAAGGAAGCCTTCCTTAGTGATCAATGCAAAGAAGTAGAGGAAAACAACAGAATAGGAAAGACTAGAGATCTCTTCAAGAAAATTAGAGATACCAAAGGGAACATCTCATACAAAGATGGACTCAATAAAGGACAGAAATGGTATGGGCCTGACAGAAGCAGAAGATATTAAGAAAAGGTGGCAAGAATACACAGAACTATACAAAGAAGACCTTAATGACCCAGATAACCAAGATGGTGTGATCACTCACCTAGAGCCTGACGTCCTGAAATGCAAAGTCAACTGGGCCTTAGGAAGCATCACTACAAACAAAGCTAGTGGAGGTGATGGAATTCCAGTTGAGCTATTTCAAATCCTAAAAGATGATGCTGTGAAAGTGCTACAGTCAATATGCCAGCAAATTTGGAAAACTCAGCAGTGGCCACAGGACTGGAAAAGGTCAGTTTTCATTCCAATCCCAAAGAAGGGCAATGCCAAAGAATGTTCAAGCTACCGCACAATTGCACTCATCTTACCCGCTAGCAAAGTAACATTCAAAATTCTCCAACCCAGGCTTCAACAGTACGTGAACAGAGAACTTCCAGACATTCAAGCTGAATTTAGAAAAGGTAGAGGAACCAAAGATCAAATTGCCAACCTCNTGGTCATGTATGGATGTGAGAGTTGGACTATAAAGAAAACTGAGCACAGAAGAATTGATGCTTTTGAACTGTGGTGTTGGAGAAGACTCTTGAGAGTCCCTTGGACTGCAAGGACATCAAACCAGTCAATCCTAAAGGAAATCAGTCCTGAATATTTATTGGAAGGACTGATGCTGAAGCTGAAACTCCAATACTTTGGGCACCTGGTGGGAACTGATTCCTTAGAAAAGATCCTGATGCTGGGAAAGATTGAAGGCGGGAGGAGAAGAGGATGGATGACAGAGGATGAAATGGTTGGATGGCATCACTGACTTGATGGATATGAGTTTGAGTAAGCTCCAGGAGTTGGTGATGGACAGGGAAGCCTGGCATGCTGCCATTCATGGGGTCGCAAAGAGTTGGACACAATTAAGTGAACTGAACTGAATCTGAATGTCAAAAGATTATTGTAAATTAAAGAAAATCAGATATGCCAAGTTCAGTGCTTCTCTCTGTGTGGGAAGACGCATGAATCTGCACTCACCGAATCATTCCTTGATGGGCACCTCAGCTCTTGGCGCCAGTGTCCCGAGTTTCCACATCCTGAGTGTCCTCGGGGCTCACCAGGTCATGTTGGAGGGGTGCAATTGATGAGGACTGTGACAGCCTTTGTTTACTGATCTGGCAGGAAATACTCCATTTCTCAGTTTCCTCCTCTTGATCTGGAATTCGACCAATATTTGAGAGACGTTACATGACCAAGTCATCCTGAGTCAGGCAAAAGTTTCCTGTTGATATGCTGCTCCAGCTGCTAATTTCCAGATTAGGCCCCGTTGATAATTAAAGATTCTCTGGATCCTCCATCTTATTACTTACCACTATGATCCAGGAAATGTTTTCCCTTGTTGCTTCTTCCCATGCCTGGGAATCACACTATCACAATTATTTTATGAGTCCTAAATGTGATCTGTTTCCCCAAGATGTTTAGCGATCATCAGTTCTGTTGGCGGCCAGGCTACACAGTGGGTGCCATAAGAGACAACAGGACCCGAGCAATGCCACCAGCACCACTGACAGAGTTACCATGCAGCAGGGAGATGCAGGGCATAAACGGTTTGGAAACAAAACAATGCTTCGTGTAACTAGTTAAAATCCAGTTGCAATAAGCCATGAAGTCCGCAGGAGAGCCAGCTGGAAAGCGAATTCTGGCAGGATCAAGTAAGAGAGAGAAAATGTTTTCATCTTTGTTTACAAAGGCATATTTTATTATTTTGTAGTAGGTCACAGCATAAGAGAACAGGTTTTACTGGAGAACAAAGGTTTACGGTAGTGTATTTTCCACGACGGAGCCGATGGGGTGACCCACGTGAGTTGTGCCACGTGTTGTGCATGTGAGCTGAGAGCACAGCAGATCCTCCAGGTGGCGCCTCAATTGATGAATCACAATGTTTAAAATAAACACGAGTGGGCTGTGCAGGAGGCTGTAGCGGGGTGGGCAGGGGTCTGGCAGGGAGCCTGGGCTGTGGACCAGCCGAGTTGGGTCACCTGCCGCCGGGTCTCTGGTGCAGAGCAGCGCCCTCCCTCACTCTGGCGTGTTAGGTCTGCCTCCAGGCTGGTCAGGGCAG